TAGCTGTCAGACATAGAGAAGCTGAACATAAAATTAAGCAATGAAATCTGAAAACAATGTATTGGGGCTAAGTTATGAGTTGTGTCATTCTGACAATATTGTAATACACAAAGAGGCAAAGAGATATTCAATTCTGATCCCCTGCACAACCTAAACTGTATATTACATTACAGACCAAGAATAATTTTCATTTAATGGTAATTTTCATCATTTTTAATGAATGCTTATTCTTCAATTATTCTTCAACAAACCACAGCTTAATTCAGTTCTACTATTAAGTAGAACCAGGAGCAGTCCATGCCTTTATGGTGTTCACCCATTCCTTTCTATTGGAAGACAGATTGTGCTATATCTTATTTCCTGTCTTGAATCCCTCAAACTAACTTCATGTAGAGCTGAAATAAGGTTAAACTGACTGCTACCTGCTCCTCCAGTGGAAAAATCTTCCAAAGAATAGAAACTGCCACTGAGAAAACATGTTGCTTTATTTATGCCCCGTGCAGCTCTCAAAGAGGTGGAGATTCAACAGCAGGTCAGCTCTTGAAGAAAGTTAAGTTGCATTGTAAATTATCCATTTTCATCAATTTGATGCAAAGTGGACAGCTACTGTATATGTCAAAAAGGCATTGATGGAGTTGCCCATTTAATCTTCTGCAGCAAAAACAACAGCGTGTTTTCTCATTCCTTCAGGGCTAAGAACATTCATTATTGCTGCTATTGTTTTGTTTTTAAAGAAATCAAAGAGGAAGAGAAAAGAGAATCCGGTTTTAAATTGAAGTGTATACTTGTTAATGGATATGTTTTAAGGCATTCCCGGGAAGCAATGCTATACTTTATATACAAGATACTTTGGTCTGCTGCCCAAATGCTGACATCTGATGGGATTTTGAGTATTTCTGGTTTTCCCATCTTCTAAAGGTGCTTAAACTTTGAACCAAGTAAGATTATTCTTTCAATAGAAGACTGCCTTCTGAATGTAGCACTAATGATCAGTTTAGGATGAAGTTAAATATTGACACGATTGGAAAAAATAGTGTATTGCAAAATGGTAAATTGTCCGGAGTAATAGTTTAACTTTACACACATGAATGTGTTTATAAGCTGTCCAGAGTCTCACTTCATGGTGAGATGGGCGGCATATAAATTTAATAAATAAAATAAATACGCACAGACAGACACACAGACACAAACACACAAATACTTTCTGGAATTATTGAACCAAAGGAATTTCTGTCTCCTCAAGGAATGCCCCGTCTTCAAAGGGAGCAAGAACTATCATGGAGAATTCACTTTTAACTTTTTGTTAGATAGAAACATCATAAACTATTCTCTTTAGTCATGCCTGCTAACTGGACAAAATATCACCTTGGCTAGATATGATGGCTTTGAAAAATGAAAATTGTAGTCCCGCATATCCACAGACCAATGGTGAGTTCCAGCTCCCATTGCAACCAGTAAGCTGCAATGGGGCTGGGCGTCCACCACGTGCACGCATGCAGCACGCACATGCGTACCCACTGCCCGTGACGCTCTAGCTGCTTGGCAGAGCATTGCGCTGGGGCCGTACGCCCCATGTGTGTGCGCAAATGCCTCGGTCGGCTCAAATAGAGGTAAGGAGAGCAGGTGGGCCCACTGAAGCACCGTACCCAGCAGGCAAAGTATGCCCATATCAGGGCGTAGTGGTCATATCCCACCACTGCCACAGACCTGTGTTATGAAAGATGGACTCAGCCTCAATTTTTAAGCATAATAATTTCAAAATTTGTATTTATGATATTACAAACAAATATGGAAAGCACAGGATTTGCTTCCTGGTATTCAAGATTCTTTACTTTTCTCTATGCATTTTACATAATCACCTTATGAAAGACAATTTTTCCATCTCATTGACCCACAATCTAGTCATATGTCATATTTATCCTTATTTCATACATTTTCTCAGTTCCAATGCAATCTGACTAACACATAGACCGGTTCATCTGTCAAGTATTTTTTTTTAATAAGTTATTTGATTTTGTGACTTTTGTTCTTTTTTTTGCCACAGCTAATGTTAAAATCTCATGGGGAAATATTTTGTTGCCTGGTGCAGATATTATCAATTGGGGCAGTATCCTTGTGATTATGGTGTGGATATATAAATTTACAGCAGTAATTCTTAACATCAATTGATTATCCTAATCCATTTGGTGGAACAGGAGAGAAGCAAGAGACAACAAAATAAAAAAAATAAAATAAAGTAAAACATTAAAAAAAAATAAACATAATATGATACAGGCAAAATCTTTTTGGTGGATAATCTTTTTGCTTGGTGTATTTTGAAAACACAAAGTGTAGTTTGTAAATGATAGTTTATGGCTCAGTATGTTGATATATCCAAGCAACTGTATTTTTTTCATTAAATAATGGATGCGTGAATCCAGACACAATAGTCTTAGCTGGTTTCAAAATAGGCCAAACAACAGAATTACCATTAATGAAGAATTGGCTAGCAATAAAATGGAGTTTAGGATTAACCATTAATCACACCCAATAAACCTCTTGGAATTTTTTTTCATAATTATCCACGGCTTGTCTAAACTTGCTTCTTCCAGTTCCAAATCTGTAGTGATACATAGATCTGGCAAGATGCTTGCAAATATCAATCATTCCCCTGGCACATCTGCTGATATTCCATGGCTGAAAGCCAATCTCCATTTGAAGCATGTTTTTTTCCAACCTGACAATGCAATACTGTAACTTCTTTCTGAGGCTACAGGGACGACTTTTCCCATCACACAGAGAAGCTGTTGGATCCAAACCAGTTCCTAAGAAAGAAAGTCTGAGCTTAAGTTTCCAGTTTTAGGACCCAGCACTTCCATCTTTTCTTTCGGCTGCCAGGAACACATATGTGCAATTCAATCTTCACTCCTGTTATTAAGAAACACTGCTTGGCCAGCATATACAGCTCTTGATTAAGAGGAAAACTCCCTAAATTTTGTCACACTCTCTATCTATGCAAAGTGCAATTGCAAGTAGATTCATAAGAAAGATAATTTATTGTCACAAGAGAAAACATTTACAAACATCCCTGCCCAATACTAACATTAATATCAGAGTTTAATTTATAAATAATTAAAATGGGACAATGGTAAAGGAGACTAAGATAATTCAGAAGTTTCAAAGTTCTTGATAAAAAATTTTTGAAAGAGGAAGGAAAATTACTCAGCACATGCTCAAAGAAAAGTTTAAAGAAAATTTCTCAAAGGCAAGCATTCAGCCAAGTGATCTGCATATTTCATTCACTATTGTTTTTAGGTCAGCCTGCCTAGGATTGAAGCCGTGTACTTTTTTACACATCCAAAGAACACTTTATTCCAATCAGTGCAAGAATTGATCTCACAAAGCTTTCTCAAGATCACTTTTGCACGGGCCCTTTATTCTTTCTATCAACAGAGTCCATGTACATGAACCTCTCAAGTTGAATATGGGAATAACTATAAAGTATGGATTTTGGATTAAGGAGGAATGCTAGTTTATCCTTGTGGGAAAATGCAAGAATTTTGACAGCATAGGATCTTCAAGAAAGGCCATCCAGACTTCAAAATACAATACAAATAGGAGCATCCCCATTAACACACTGCAGGGCATTTTCTGTGCATGCCTACATACATATCAATTCTTCTTCGTTGTTTTGCATCAAAGATATAATAAAGAAACTTCACAATGCTTTTTACAGCAGCTCCACATTTTACATTTTTATATAGTATATATAAGGATATAGCAATACCCCTGTGATGTGTTACTCTCTGTGTTTGTATGTGCATGAGGTTTCATGATGCTTGTTTGTGGGGGTATAAAGGAGATTAGGAATGACAGACCTAGACAGCCTCCTTAACACCTTGTTCTTAAATGAGTAATAAATGAAATGAAAGGCAGATAAGTGCAGTGATGGGAGAAAAATAGCAAGGACAAATTTTACAAAGTATTTGTGGAGAACATGACACAGAGCTAGAGCATGTCTTGGTAGAGAGGGGCTGTTAGCCATTGTTCAGCTGTGCCAACAATCCATGATGGCAAAAAACACCTTTTTTTTCCTAGATTCCATGAATACTTTCATTTCAGTCTAGGATCTGGGCAAGGATCTTCCTTCACTTATCCATTGAGGAAATATTTAATATGTTATTAGCAAGGAGAATGTAGAAGAAAAAATCAAAAGGCATGAGAAACCTAAATGGATCGCACATTCTTGTATTTTACTCTCTACACTCCCTTTAGTTTTTAAAATATGACTGCTTTGCACACACATCCGCTATTCTTTTAATGTCAACTCCAATGTATCATTCTCATATGCTTTGGAGAGAAAAGATAGAGAGGACATGAAAGGAACAAGAAGGTGGGAGGGTCAGTGATGGACTGTCAGCCTGACCATTTTCAGTGCAGTTTCTTTGCTCAGGACGTCCCTAGAGAGCTGTGCCTGGCAGTCCTGAGTAGAAAGAACAATAAGTGAACCCTGTGGGAAGGAATGGCAAGGATGGACACGTTCAATTAACCAATTTCTAAATATTTTGCTTGGAAAAAAAGAGAACTGCATGAAATAGGATCCTCTGAGAAAGGAACCTCGCTTTTTATTTTGAACACTGCACTTCAATCATTTACCCATGGCTTTTTAGCTAATGAAGAACAGAGTTGAGAAGCCTCTATTCCCCCACTCTGTTCAAATGTTTAAAGAAATGTAACCACCATGAAAGTGCCCCAGCATCCAGAGAAAAATAAGCCAGGCTCTCCTGGATGAAATATTTCATTTTGCTGGCTACAGAAGTACACATACATACAGCCCATCTGAGTTGGAACTGTTACATTTCAAAGCAAGAAGATTACTCCACTAAGCCTCTCCCATCAGGGTGTGTCTTGGCAGACTATGCATTGGGTAATGCAACAGAGCACACCCTCTGAGGACTATAAATGGAGCCTGGCAACACTGGAGATGCTAGCTTCTTCACGCTAGACCAAGCCGAGTAACAGTCTTGCCTCTGAACTTTTTTCCACGATGTCATACTATTATCAAAGCTCCTCTTCTTCTCATGGTGGTGGTGGCGGTGGTGGTGGTGGTTCTTGCCGTGTTGCTGCTGTCCGCCATGGACCATCCAGTATCCATGGGGGAGCTGGTGGCCGTCTATCTGCCTCTTCAGCTAGGTATGTCTCATCTGGTTCAGGATATGGAAGTGGTTATGGATATGGAAGTGGCTTAGGAGGTGGTATTGGATATGGCTCCGGTGGTGGTCTTGCCTACGGAGGTTGCTTTGGTGGTGGATCTGGTGGAGGCTATGGTGGTGGTCTTGACTTTGCAATTTGTGGTGGTGGTGGTGGTGGTGGTGGTGTTGGTGGTGGTGATGGAGGCCTTCTGACTGGAAATGAGAAGATCACCATGCAAAATCTCAATGACCGCTTGGCAAATTACCTGGATAAGGTGCGAGCCCTAGAGGAGGCTAACACTGAGTTAGAGATCAAGATCCGAGACTGGCATCTAAAGCAGGCACCCACTAGCCCAACCAAGGACTACAGCCATTATTACAAGATAATTTCGGAACTCCGTGACAAGGTAGGATCCTGAACAAGGAATTTAATTGAGGTTAACAGATCAAGTTTGAAAGTTTCCTCCTCCTCCTCCTCTTCCTCCTCCTCCTCCTCCTCCTCTTCCTCCTCCTCCTCCTCTTCTGTACTTTTATCCCTTATTTTAAAGTGCATTATTCTCATATTTTGAATTATAACACTTAATGATTTCAGATTGTGATTTTTTTAAAAAAATTGATCAATCAAAGATCTTTGCATGCATATATATCATTCATCTTCAATCACTATTTCTATGACATGTTCTTTCCATTTAGAAAAGAGAGAACTGGGCAATATTGGGTATAATAAATCCACTAGAAATAAACATGAATATCCCTATTTTTTACTGACTTCTTTAGAATCAAAATGCTAAGAATTTGTGAAGAATTCTGGGAGTTGAAGTCCAGATAGCTTAAACACTGATCTAAAGGATAGAAACCTCTGATCTTTTTCATATCACTTTGTTATAGTAGGGTAGCTGAAGCATGAAATGTTGATATGTAATTCACATAATTCATATCTGTCTTTAAAATGTTATTTCATTCTGCTCCCACTATTATATATTACATTTTAATGTAGAAACCAAACATTTATCTTCTAGATCCAAGAAAAAATTTTTATAGGACCAAGACCATTATAGATATCTAGCATAAATATGTAATAAACTATATGTAAAAAAATCAATGTAAAATATTTATAAGAGATGACTTTTACCAGCCAGGAAGGACATATTTAGATAATATATTTATATTAACTAAGCTGCAGTACCAGGTAATTATAGCATAATACATCTCAAAGTTACCTAAAAGATTGCTTAAGTTCTTACCAAGAGGAGAATCCTATCCAATATGTATATTTGGAATTGATGCTGAGGAATATTCCAGTCAGTTCCTCAGTATAGATTATCCCAAACATGCTTTTCTATTTTTTATTTTATTTTAGTATATAGGATTGACTTGTTTATGTAAATATATTGGTACAGTAAAATGAACTCTTTAAGAACTAAATCTTAGCTGTATGTCAATAAAAAGTTGGCAGATAGTTGTTATAAAAGACTTCATATAGTAATGATGATGGGAGCAAAGAAAATATAGCTTCTACTGGCTGATTGAATATGATTTCTGGGCAATTCCATAATGCATTGCAAAACCAAATTACATCATCCTAAAACTTTCAGTTATCCATGAAGGCTGACTGGTATTCCTTGGAATAGTTCAGATCATGAAACTGGCTGCATAATAACAGATTCTTGCAAGTCTGCTGATGTTTTATCTGCCCTCTGCCTTATAACCCAGGGAATCATGGTTTAACACTTTTTTCAACACTTTTTGCTGTCTTAACAGCTTCTGAGCATCCTGTCCAAAGTCATCTAGTGGCCTCTTACACTAGACAATTAAAGGAGAAAGTGTATACAAATTGCTCTCCACATGTTTTAATGACTAAACCAAAGTATTTTCAAGGACTAAAAATTCTTCCTATATTCATGTTTCTCTCCCCCCCCCCCCTTGTCTTCTCTCTTCTTTGGTAGATTCATGACCATACAATTGATAATTCTAGGATTATTTTGGAGATTGATAATGCTAGACTGGCTGCTGATGACTTCAGACTGAAGTGAGTTTTTTGCTGTTTGTTTTTCTATTCCCCCAAGACTCTTTCTAAGCTGAAGAAAGGAAGAAAAAGATAATGTAAATTTTCAGATAAAAGTGAACCATACCCCCATTAAAACTATATACAAGTCTATGTCTCTATTAGTTAGTTTTATCCAGGGCTGGAATAGATACTAGCCTTGAGCAAACAATGATGGATAAGCAGAAAAGGAGAGAAAAGGCTTGCTCATTGTCAGTTGTGTGAAAAAAGTACAGCAAGAACAGCAAAGAAAAATGGCAAGATGGGAATGGCTAGTTAAGCATGGAGGGGCCCTTGAAAAGAATATTGGCCCTCAAACCTAAGATATGTAGCAATTAATGAGTCTGGATGAGCTTAAAGATAAACAGAATAAAAGTAAGATAGCTTCTCATCCACTGTCAAAAATAAGGGGGAAAGAGTACAGATAGAAATGCTAATCTGCATATAGCGTGCATATGCTGAGTTATATTTATGATGCAAATTTAATAACTTAAATGGTAGTTGAAGCTATTTCATCTTAATAGGTCAAATGGGAGGTGATTTGTATGTCTGCTAAGCATGTTATCCAAGTTTTAACTGCTGAACAATCTTCAAAATGGAGTCACACTGACTAGGTCCTCAAATATAATACTGTATTTTGTAAAGTAGGTATGTGACTCCTTAAAGGAAAAAAGTGAAGGAATGGAGAAAAAAATTGAAAAAATGCTTGAAAGGTTGTATGTTTCAATACATAGAGATAGCAAAACTTATGAAAGACTATTTAATTACAAGGTGTTTTGTTCCTATTTGGAATTCTTGAACCTTTTTCCTGGTGTGTTCTCAGATATGAGAATGAGCTGCATCTCCGCCAGGGTGTTGAGAGTGACATCAATGGTCTGCGCAGAGTCCTGGATGAACTAACTCTGTTTAAATCTGATATGGAAATGCAAATTGAAGAGAAGAAGGAAGATCTGGCCTACCTGAAGAAGAACCATGATGAGGTGAGTAATGTGGAAAGGAAAATGGAGAAGACCAAGGCAGACACATTGAGAAGACAATATAAAATTATCCATCACCATCCATCGGTGGACTCTAATTGCTTTATGAGTTCTATATAAAAAAAGTTTAGACCAAAATATAGGATAGGAATTAAAGCAGAAATGAAATCTGATTGATATTTTCAAATTATTGATTTAACACAGTCAGTAAAATAACAATTTTGGGAGAATCCTGGGATGACACTCTAGAGGTTGCACTGAGCTAAAGATTAGTCATCTTTATATAAATAAAGGTTATGCCATTTCCAAATGGTACCAGGTTCCATCTGGTAAGATGGTAACTAGGTGGATTGCTGGAAGAGGCTGTTGGAAACTAGCATCTACATAAATGTACAGCCTGCCTGTTGTTTCTCTCCACAAAAAAATCTCTTCCCTGAGAAAAACCGAGGGGCAGGAAATTGAATATTGTTTCTTTCTATAAAACTAGAACTAGGAAACCAGCTCTTGGTGGCTACTAGAAATACTAGTTGGTTTTTAAGCCTAACAAAAGTGTGTAGAACAACAATCAAGGGGGTTTGTTGCTGTTGCTCATCAAAAAATTACTCTAAGCATTAAAGCCTTCAGCAACACAACTGCTGTTTGCAGATAACAAGAAAGAGGTACTCTTTGGAGAGAAAACTAATTGTCTGCCTTTTCCCCCCCCCTTCCAAAGTTAATGAAAGAATTCAGTACTCAGCTAACTGGAAAAGTCAATGTTGAGATGGATGCGGCACCTGGAGTTGATCTCACCAAAATTTTGGCTGACATGAGAGAACAATATGAACAAATGGCTGAGAAGAATCGCAGAGATGCTGAGGCCTGGTTCTTTACCAAGGTACACTGTCTTTCCAGATATTGTTTGTTTTTTCACATTATGGGATTTTCATTAAAAAGGTTCTTCATGCTACTAATAAAAAATACAGAGCATTATTCCCTCTCCTTTTTTCCTGCAAAATTTTTTAAAAAGTAGAAGTAATGAGGAAATTCAGGATATCCCTTTTTACATAGGATTCCAGATATTTTGTTGGATTACAGCTTCAATGTAACATGTAAGGAATGAACGTATTTCTATATCCCTGTACAAACATGTTTCAGAATGTACTGCAAGTCTGTGAATATTCCTAATTATGTACATTTGATCTACTAGGAATTAATTAGACATTTACTAACCAAAGTCTTGCAACATTACTCAGCATATTTTATTTGTTTTTAATTCTTCCTACACCTAGACCGAAGAACTGAATCGTGAAGTTGCTACCCACACTGAACAACTACAGACAAGCAAGAGTGAGATTTCAGAAATAAGACGTACCATACAGAGTTTGGAGATTGAGCTGCAATCACAGCTTAGCATGGTATGCTGTTTTGCTCAAATTTTAAATGAGAATAAATCAGATTAAGAAGTATTTTTGTAGCTTGTAGCTTTTCATTTCCAAACAATAAGTTAAAAAAATTATTGTTTGGAACTAAAACAATAAACAATTGTTTGAAACAATAAACAATTGTTTGAAACAATAAACAATTGTTTGAAATTCACAATTCTTTGAATTTTACAATGCAAAATTTAAAATGGTGTATATAAAAAACACTTATATTCCTGAAATAATGTAACAATGTTAGGATAAATATGCTAAAAATGCATACACATCTCAAGTCAGTACAGAAATGGGATGATCCTAATGGAAAAACAGGAAATTGAAAGAAATTTGGTAGGTTTAAAAAAATTGAGGGACAGTGAAATTGCAAGATTTATCATCTTGTAAAGATATCTGTCCATTAAAAAAAAACACTAGTGTTTAAAGGATTCCTGGTTAGATGGAAATAATTGCAACAATGCAAGATACAGTAGTACTATCCATCCCCATTTCAGATTCCTACTGGTATCAACAGTATTATTCAACCTTAGAGCTGGGATCCTGCTGCTTTGTGATGGAGATCAGATTTTGCAATTCAGTGTTGGTTCAGATTGCTAGATCTTCTTATGCTTCTTTCTTATTAGAAAGCTGGCTTGGAAAGCAATTTAGCAGAGACAGAAGCACGGTATTGTGCTCAGCTAGCACAAATCCAGAACCTGATCAGCAATGTAGAAGAACAGCTGGCTGAGTTAAGATCTGACATGGAGCGCCAGAATCATGAATACAGGATGCTCATGGATATCAAAACACGTCTGGAACAAGAGATTGCCACTTACCGAAACCTGTTGGAGGGTCAAGACTCAAAGTATGTAATTTATTCACAATGAAAACAACTTAGTAATGTAAAAATATTTCTTGAATTTAGTGAAGTTTTCAATAGCTCAACTTGGTTGACTAGAGAGACTATTATCTTAGTCTGCCGCTAATAATGCACTTGAGAGAAATGCCTTCTTGAATTCCTTTCCTAGACAATTATTTATCCAAATAAAATTGAAAATGTAATGTGTAACCCTATATAAAACTATAAAAGATAAAGTAACTATTGAAAGCAGACATTTTTTTCCAGAATATTAGTTAATACCAGTAAATTATACCTTATTCACATAAAATTTACATAACTTGGAGAATAGATTCTTTTTCAAAGAGTTTAGAACTTGCTTGCAAACAGCTGAAAGACTGCCATTGTTGGCATATATAAAAGATAAAATAATCAATCAATCAAAAAATCTTTAACATAGGTAAAAGAAAGTGCCAGCTTGCCTTTCTGAACCTAGGGAGGGCTGGGGTTTAGAAAAACTTTTTTATTTTCTAAAAGTTCTAGTGTGTAGGTTTCATCTTTATTCTGCAACAATAACAAATGCACATTTATATAGTATGAATTCAGAATCCCAATGCCCTCTTGAACTGGATTTTGCTATCCCTTTTTTTTAGCTGCTTCACATGTTCCTTGGATACAAATAGCTGTGAAAAAACAAAATTTAAAAATTCACATATAAATATCTATCTGGCTTGGGGTATCTATTTTGTTATTTAGAGCTTGTTTTTGTGTGGTAAAAGTTAGTTTTTGAGAGATTTCCACTTCAGTTGACACTGTATACCACTGGTCCCCTTTCAATAAGTTTCATTCAGTTCTGGATTTAATTCAAAATAATCATGATAAACAGTGCTGAGGACTGCAGTATGAAGAATCTGCTTCAGTTAATAAACTTTTAAAATATAGATACAGTATATTAATAGAATAACAAGCTAGTTTGGTGTTTGGTTGAAGGCTAGAAACAGTGGGACCATGAGTTCTAGTTTGGTGTTAAGCACAAAGCCACCTGTGGAATCTTGGACCAATCCATTTATCTCATCCCTAGGAAGAAGGCAAGGGCAAATCAATTCTGAAAATATTACCCAGAAACAGTCCAGGCAATCACCAGGGGTCAACACAAACTTATTGACAATCTAAAAGGAATCTGACAAACTGACAAACTAAAAAGAAACCCTATCCATTTACCATGCTGTTTAGAATGTCAGAAAGATTAGCAGGTTACAAGGTTAACAATCTCAACAACCCTTCACAGCTTATTCCTAAAGCCAGAAGTTCCTAGGTGAATAGAGCTCTTAGCTCAAGGCCAGTTTGAGGCCAACTGTTCTAGACAAAGCCCAATAATAGTGCTCCTCAGCCTTTCTGTTGTTTAACTGACAAGACATTAAGACTCAATAAAACTACAACTAAAAACTAGTTCAGTTTTACATTAAATGTGGCTGTCAAAATATTACTGGCATAATAGCTGCGGGGAGGAGAAATCTATGCTGTCCCCTTTTCCTTGGTTAGTGCCCTAAGCACATACTTATTTTGTTTAGTGACTAATCCAGGCCTGCCTTTGTCCTATTCCATCACAACTAAGTATCCTGTTTCTTCTTTTTTCCTTTACAGACTCCCAGGTTGGTCTCCAAAAGATGGTAAGAAAAACTTAAGTTAAAGTCAGAAATGTTTGGGTGATAGAAAGATTCAAAGGAGTGCTTCACATTGACTATAGTCTGGGTGAAACTTTCCTTGGAAGTTGCATTGGAACTACTTGGTATCTTCGCAGGAGCCTATTCTAATTACTTAGGTTCTTGAATGAAGGGTTCATAACAATGCAAAATGTCTTAAAGTAAAATTGTGCTGCTTCCTTGCTGATGTATTGTGAAACACTCAGGGCTCTCACTGAAGTCATAAAAATGTGTCAAGATTTAGAGTACACTCTTTGACAATCTTACATCTCATTAATTCCAAGTAGTTTTTAGTACTTAGAAGACAAGTAAAAATGATCCATAGATTACTATGACTTTATTCATACAACATTGTAAAATAAATCAGGCAGAGTTAGCAGTTGCATTTGCACAAAATGGTTGGTATTCATCTTGGTTAAAGGAATAAGCACAATTCAGGGTACCCACACACAAACACAGGATTATACCATTGGACTATTAACTATCAGTAGGAAATTGTTCTTTCTGAACTGAAACACCTTGTTTTGGGAACGGGAAACATCTCAAAGACAGAATGGGAATGGCCATGGGCAACTTTCATTGCGGTATGCGCGAGATAGAGGCCTTCTACTATTTATTAACATTGGCTTTCTGTCTTTACAACAGCATCCTATGGAGGAGGAGGTACAATCACCTACAGTAGTGGTGGCAGCGGTGGTGGTGGTGTCGTCAGTGGCGGCAGCTACAGCAGTGGTGGCAGCGGCGTCACCAGCAAAGTGCGTTCTGGAAACTTCTGAATCTCCTGAAAAGTGCACTCACCTATTGGATGGCTTCCTTCCTTTAAGACCAAGCAATTTCAGCACCGCGACAAAAATCTCTTTTTGCAGAAGTATGCCTCGGCTTGGCTACTTTCTTCACAGTGATCCCTTTCCAGCTTTGCCTGACTCATCTTAGTCAATTCTCATACTGTATTGCTCATCATAATAAAAATCCTCTTTGGGCTTGATTTTGCAAATACAAATGGCTTGGCCTCTTTCTTGTTTGCTCCACAGGTATTTACCACTCTTTGAAGTTTGACATAGGCATCTTTGTTGAATAGAAAACTGTCCCTGGGGGGGGGGGGACAGCAAACAAGCAAGCAAACAAACAAAAAAGTACATGGGAAGAACTTCCCTTTAGGGAAGTTATGATCTTCAAAAATTTGCTTCATTGCTTCAGTTTTCATATTCAAGTTTTCTTTAATTTTGATTAAAAGATATCTGAAGAAATATTCACCAGATCCAATGGAGAAGGTGAATGTTGTGCTTTCTTTTCCTAGAATATACAAAGAGCTAAGAAAGCTATTGCAGCTTTGTTTAACTCCCTATATCCCTAGTGCATTCTGGAGCCACTATGTGATTACACATTACATAGCCATTTGCTCATTCAGGAAACTCTAAAGAAATTTTAGAAGTGTTTCTGTAAGAAGTCTGCTAGAAAGGCACTATGGTTTTTAAAGGTAAACAAATTTGTTAAAAGATATCCAGTCCACAACAAGCATTTTAAAAAGTAATATTAATTCCCACCTCTATGATTTTGTTACTGTTGAATACTAATCAATACTATTGTTGATTAGTATTCATCCCACCATTGGTTTTTGGGGGGTGGGTGTTGGGAGGCAACATTCCAAAAGCTGCTTCAAGAGATATTTGAGGCAAGACTCATTTGCTCCATATGTCCATTCTATTCTATTCATTTTTTGAAGTCAGGTTCTGAACCCAGAAAAATTCAAAGCAATAACTTTGTGAAACTCTAAAATATTTCCAACCCTTAATCTGGTTTTCTCTGCTTTTTCCTCTTATAGCTGGGATATTTTTCATAGGTGGGTCCTTTAAAAGGGGTAAATGGGAAGTGGAGATCCTCAAATAAAAGAATACCAAAAGTCAACGATCATTGTAAAAACATGGGTGGGTGAATAGTTTTGTTTGTTTTGCAGAATGAAATAGAAAGCAGCACACAGCATTAAAACATTGTAAGAAAATAAATATTGTTGAAAGGTCAAAAGAAGATCAACGAACTTTTAAATAGACGAATACAGCAAAAAGCAATTCCCAATTTGCCCTGAGTCTTTCAGGATTCATTTTTGTCCTCCTTTGATCCAACAGACTTTGCCTGAGACCACTTATGATCTCCTTTTCCAGCTAACAATCCTTCATATTCAAAGCTACACAGTTGTTATGAGATATATGGGGGTGCTCACCTAGCACCCAAACATAGCTAGATAATAGATTAAAACATAATGCAAGATGTCATGAATTATTCCTTGTGATGTCATTTGACTGATACTATATAGTCTCCCTCAATAGAGGTTATCTCTGAGTATATGCCCAGCTTTACAAGAGAAGAAATCAACATTGGGATCTTCATCCTTGTTGAAGGTGTTGAGAATCTTGGTAAGAAAACATTTCTATAAGGATGACCCAACAGGACACAGGTTGTCTCAGAGACATTGATTCTAACAGTAGCAGAGATCCAAGTCTATCCTTATTTACTCAGAATGTCTTCTCCTATACCTTGGCCCTTTGTTATCTTGGTGGGGAGGAGAGAGGGCAACAGGAATCTTCCTCCTAGATAAAGCACTGTGATGTCATCACCCATCCTGTATTCTGCTCCTGTAGGCCATAGAAGCATTCATGGAAATAAAGGTGATGGAGGCTAGTGTTCTGTTTTGCAGATCACCAGGTTCATATTACTTTTTTGCTTTCAGGATTTATTTTGGCATTCAAATTGGGTGCCAGACACCTTGGTGGATGTCTGTAAAACTCTGGCTGCCGATCCCTACCTTAAAGGCAGATAAATTTTAGTATGAATGTATAATACTATGAAGACTTTTGTTCCCATGAAACTTTGGCAGGGAAAGTTGGGAATATCAATAGCTGAATTTATCTTTTATATGAAGCTTCTCATTATGCACATTTTATTGATAACAGTTATGATATCATACAACCTCACAAACAAGATACTGCCTAAATTGTGAGAAAGCAACTTGTTAGGCTATCTGCAGGCCTGGAAGCCATCTTTTACCTTTGGGACTTCAGGCCTGCCACATTTTCTACTGTGGGAAAATGGGAGGGGGGTTATACAGAGCATGGGTGATATATAGTCAAAATAACATTCTTTCTCAGAAAGTCAAGACCATCTTGCCCTGCAGCTACGATGAGGTGATTGGGAGGCATCTCCAGTTTTGGATGGCGCCTGATTGGATCCTGTGATAGACATGTGGTTGCTGGGCAGAGATTTGAACTTTCTTTTGGGTGGGGAAAACCTGGAAACTTTCAGATTCAGGTTTTCTCAGATGTCCCAATATGACATCTCTAATAAAATGGAACTTTGTGTCTTCTTTCGTTGGGAGTGTTCCTTGGAACGCTGACATTAAAAATTCCTTTCCCAAGTGGAAGCTTCCAGGCCTGACACCACCTTTACAGTTTGGAAACAAAGTGAGAATGTTTCTCACACACTGCATCCAAATCTTTACCTCTATAAATTGTTTTGAACTGTTTGTGTCTGTTGTGATATGAAAGAGAGAAAAGTTCTATGGATTGAAAGAGACTTCACAGGGAACATTTATGGTCAAATACATAGATTATTATAGATAGTTTCTACACCATTGAAAAATATTGACTCAGATTCTTAAGAATCTGGTATGAATATTCTGGTATCTATTTATCCATCCTTCCAGCCACCCATCCATCCTAGGTTGCATAATAACATCATATTATAAAGATAACCAAAACCCATTGCTATTCATTTTCAAATCTGGCATTCTCTTGATATTTCAGTCCATAATTTTTACAATCCCCCCGCTAGAGTATTCAACTTGAAGCCTTCTACAAATAAATGGAACAGTCAAGAAGCAGAAAATTTACAAATCAGGTCTTACAGTCATCATAATTTGCTGAGGGTGGAATTCTTCCTGTACAGGGATGGGCAAACATTTTTGGCTGAGAAACATTTTAATTATTTTTTTTGAGGCGGAAGAAGGCATGTCTGGAATGCAATGACATTTTCAGACTGACAGGGCCTCAACTTTTCAGCATATCTGAAACATGAAGGGACATTAGGAACATGGTTTTAGTTAAAAGTTGTCTAATCCTGTCCTATGAAGTTCAGTGATTTTCCATTGTAGGCTTTTCCCACCGAAGAAAATTATGAAATTTAATGTACATGTCAAAATAAAAGTTTTCTATATGTTGCAGAGTCATATTCAATATTGTGGGTACAAGAGGTATACACATGTCCTAAACCAATATGCAATACTGCATAACTATATACATTTTACCTTTTTAACATTTTACCCAGTTCCAATTATCTTTTGCTTGAAATCTATTCTTCTAGAAACTGAAATTCAGCTTATCATCCAGATGGAATAGCTTCAGTGAAGGATCAGTAAGACAAAAGTAAAGTTAGATGACCTGAAAATAAAATGTAAAACAAGGCCACATGTCCAGGACTTAGAGCATAGAACATAGAATAACAGAGTTGGAAGGAACCTTAGAGTCAGTGGTGGGATTCAAATAATGAAACAACCGGTTCTCTGCCCTAATTACCAGCTGCATAGGTGTGGCTCAGTGGTCATGTGATTTGCTGGGTGTGGCCAACTCAATGACACTCACATCACTGGGCGCTTTGCCTTAGCTGTTGCAATGTAATCACGGTTAACCGAAGAGGCAGTTTCTGTCAGCAGGGCAAATAAAGATTAGGCTAGAAACAACACCAGAATCTTCCCTTCCTGCCTTCCTTACAGGATTAGCCCTGTAAAGTGGAAAAAAATAAAAACAAATTTCTTCCAACAACCAGTTCTCCAAATTGCATAGCTAGTTAACAACCGGTTCTCCTGAATAGGTATGAACTGGCTGACTCCCACCACTGCTTGGAGTTCAATCCATTATTCAAGCAAGAGACCAGATACTATTACAGACAAATGGCTGTCCAATCTCTTTTTTGAAAGCATTCGGTGATGTCAAGAGTCAACTAGAATCAGAGACTCCAACATACCAATTACTTTTGGAGGGAGAAAATCAGAAAAATGAATAATAGAAAATGGTGAAAAGTAATTTTGCAGAATTGCATTCACAGCATTTAGAATAGGGATGTAAGAAAAGCTAGGAACTACTTAATGATTGTTAAAAGATAGGATGGTTGTAAGGACTACTTACAACCTGGTTTTGATGGTACAGTGCCCCCCCCTCCATGGTCACATGATTACATTTGGATATTTGGCAATTGGCATACCTCTATGGCACTTTGTAGCTCCTGGGGTCCTTTGACCATAATTTGCAATGTTTTATGCCAGTCTCTAGTGTTTATTTTCAGTTTTTGGCTCCCTGGGAAAACTGGATTCATTTAATGACTTAACAACTGCAACAAGAAAGATTGAAAAATTGGGTCTGGTCATATAATCTCTTGCCCTATGACCACAATGACTACAAGGACTTATGACTGTAATTATGAGCTCAATTATTGTGGTAAGTTGAGAACTACCTGTTTTTATAACAATTGCATTCCAAAATAGCACTACCTAGGAGTTTTGAAACCATGTTTTTAAACACCTGATGCAAATGCATAAGTCATAGCCTATGTGTGATTATATTACTATGTATGTGCCATGTGCAAATTCCTTGTGTGTCCAATCACACTTGGCCAATAAAGAATTCCATCATCTGCCTGCCTGCCCGCCTGCCTGCCTGCCTGCTGCCTGCCTGTCTATCTACCTATCATTGTCTCCTTGTTTTGTGGCTGGCTCAAGAATCACATTTACTGCCTGTGAAGAATGCAAACTTATACATAACCCCAAGTGTCAGTGGTGAACTTAATAGATTCCTTATTCTTATTCCTCCCTCAACCTGCTCTAAACTCTTAATGCAGGGCAGTTGGAAGAAGCCTCGGGCAGAAGAC